ACCCTCCCTTCCCTCAACCTGGTAAAAATTTAGGTACCTCACCCAAGTAAAACTATGGCTCTTAAAACAATCACCTCTACCTCCCTCAGTTTTTCAGCTGAGACCATGGAGGGTTTGTCTCTTTCCACTGGCACAAGTCTTTAGTTAGGGAACTGATGAGGCATGTAAAATAGTAGGAGTGGGTCTACTAAAAGCTTAAGTGTTAGGGAAGGGAAATCTCAAATGCATCTCTCAATACTGGGCATGGAAGCAAGTGAACAGTTTTTTGTGTCTGTTAACGCTGAGGTGCAGGAGAAGATCTCGAAGGAATTGAGACTTCAGTGCAGCAAAATTTCAACAGATGCCCTGGACAAGTTAGATTCGTGAGAAGTTGCTGGGGTGAAGAGATGCGATTGTAGCTCTGAAATTCACAAGTGACATTTGAAGAGAGCAGTTCCGAGGCTTTCTAACCTAGAAATGAAAGCCCTCTGGAAACACACTCCCTACTAGCGCAGGGTCTGTGAGACAGCACTCTATTAAGAACTGCAATTCTGTGACTTAAGGCAGTCTTCATGTAAGCCAGGTCTCCCAAATACCCTGTACAGTTAAGACCATAAAAACGAGGCATCCCTCAGTGTGAAACAGGAAACGATTCTTCTACGAGTACCTTTAGACAGTGGTCCCTCAGCTCTTATCTTTTTGGCATGCAAGACACTAAACGTGGTTTAGTTTAGACACCTATATAGGTCCCTGTATTTTTTGGTATAGTTTCCCCAGCAGTCCATGATGGAACTTCCCTTTTAGTTTCAAACCTGTCAACATGCCTGGCAGGGCCGGCTCCAGGCACCAGCCCAGCAAGCAGGTGCTCGGGGCGGCCAAGGGGAAGGGGCAGCACGTCGGGCTGTTCGGCAGCGGGTCCCTCTGGGAGGGAAGCACCTGCTGCCGAATTCCCGCTAAAGAAGAAAGTGGCGCGGTGGAGCTGCCGCCGGAGTGCTGCTGATCGCAATTGCGGTCGTGGCTTCCTCCCCCACCCCCCCGCCGCTTGGGGCGGCAAAAACCCTGGAGCCGGTCCTGATGCCTGGCCTTAAACCAGGTCTCTAGCACTGAACTGCAGGGAAAGCTCTGAGCCAATTCCAGACTGGAATTTTGCAGCATGGGTCAATTGCTGGTCATGACAGATACACTTGGCTGGGCTGTTGCGGTCTTGCTTGGCCCACGGTAAGGGCAAGGTGGGGTGGTCTTCCAAGCAAACCACTCCCTCCCAAGAGAGTCAGGACTGCCATACTTACGTGGCTGTGGTAGAGTGCCAATATATTGAGCAGCAGCCATCACCCCCTGAAACTGAGCCTCACTTAGGGCGAAGAAAGTCAAAATCTACACAACACATCGAGTATCACTTCGCACTTGTTGCGCGTAATACCCAGCTCTCTGGGAAAAGCCAAAAAGGAGAAAAACAGCATTGTTTTAAGGAGCTTGTGGGAGAGACACAAAAGTTGACCCAGTATCAGAAAATAAGAGCCACTACAAGAGTGCCGGGTGTGTGGGTTCTGGAAAGAGGAATGCATTTCAGACTTTTTAAGGGGCAAACTAAAGCCCTACATACAATTAAAAATCCAGCAACTTTAGGGTTATGTTTTAAAGCCTCAAATAAACCGGGTGAGCGCTCCTTATAAGCATCTGGGGGTGGGAGTGGATGTTTAAAAGGCCTCTTTCTGGCCCACTCAAGCTAGTTCTCTAACCAGAATCTTCTTTGATTTAGAATCCAGGCATAAAGTGGGGCTTTGGGGGAGGATCTGGGGATGTCCCAAATCCTAATTTATAGAGTGTTCCCTCCTGGGAGGTGCCTGTTCAGTTTATAATTAAAACAAACCTGAATCGTATCTTGAACACTGAATGCTTATGAACCAAAAGAGTGACGCTTCACCTCTAGTGACGGGTGCGGGTTTCCTTTATGATCCGACTACTCAATCAACATTTCCAATAGAACCTTGGTTCAGATGCTACTGCTATAAAATTGCACTTGGTGATTGTCTCTTACACTTTTTTTTTGTCCTTCCTAAAACTAGATTTTTCTGTACAAACTGGGCTTGAAATATAAACCACATAAAATTCCCATTGAAAATAATGAGAATCCAGGATCAAAGCTGAAGTCCCAAGAGAGACAGAAGGAAGGGAAGGAGAAAAGAAGGGGATAGCTAGTCTCCCACGTCTGTGTCCCGGTCACCGATGAGCCAGAGAACGTGGAAACTGAGAGCCAAGAGACCTGTCCCAAGCAGGTCACCCAGCGCCGTCAAGTAAGGGATGGAAAAGTTGTCGGGATCCAGGCCCCTACCCCACATCCAATGCACCATCCAGTCGGCAATGTAGAGTAGAATGAGAACCTGGAAAACAGACAAGAGGAAAGAGCCATATTAGCTACTAATCCAGACTTTCACGCCCCTTTCTCCCCCAGGACAAAGCTTCCCAAGTTCCTCTATATTCAGGCACTTGCAATTCAGCCTGATTGAAGTGTGAGCCCCTATTAATCCCATTCAAGCCTAAGGAATAGTTTAGAGGAGTAAGAGATGGGTCTTGTTGTTAAGAGGAACATCCTCAAGCAAGGCAAAACCAAAGATTTGATGGTGGGTACATTTCAGATTGTGGGCGGAGAGGGGCATGCCTGCCAGTGAGCATTTAGGGGGCACAAGAAGATGCGAGCTGGGTTTTTAATTCCCCTATGTGCCTTTGAAAACCTCCCCTTACTGCTCTATGCCCAGTGCATCACCATCAGTTTATTTTAGGTGTACGAGCGAGTTCACCGCATGTGGGCTGAAAGCCTCCAAAATGAGGAGGCTCTGACCCAGATCCAAGTTTTGCAGCTCAGGTCACAACTCTAACCGAAAAGAGGTGCAAGTGGACACAGAGCCAGGAAGTAGAGGCAGGATCCAATCACACCAGGGTGCCTCAGAGGTGAGCAGAAAGCCCAGCGAAGGGGGAGCAGAGTTGGAGCAGCAGAGTCGTGGCTTCCTGGGGGCAGGACAGCGTCTCTGAGCAGTGACATGAATCCCCAGACGGTCACGATCTCACTTTTGCTCTAGGACAACACTCAGGGTATCCCAAGTCAGTGGTTCACACTGAGTCCTCAGCAAAGCCAGGAGAAATGCTCACAAATGCATCTAGCAGATCAGGTACAGACATTTAAAGCCATCAACTTGTGACCGGAGTGAGGGCTGGAAGGATTAGGCCAAGGCCCCCTCCTTCACTACAATCCATTTAGTTGCCCATGAGCCCCCACTTTGCTCGCAGGCCTGTAGCTTCCCACAATGCACCTCACTTTCTGCAGGGGGAAGAGCACCAGAGACTTTAGAAAGTGGTTGCTAAAGGACTTCCCTTCATGTGTCCAGCACACACCAGGGGCTCGCGACTTAGACTAGCTGCCTTGTCTAGCCCGCTCTGTTTCTCTTTCTTGTGGATGCTCTGACTCATTTCCTGGAGCTCAGCTCGGTTGTTGATTTTAGGGGGATGCTAAAACCAGCAACAACTTCCACAAGCACCAGGAGGTGGCTGTGTTTAGTAGGATAACTCCTTGGCCACAGTCTCCCCTCTGTCTGCCTGTGTAGGAGGGGAGGGATATATTGGCTGCCTGAGTTTCCCGAAATGCCAAAAATCCCCCCTTACATCCCTGAGTGCACACTCCTCACCTCAAGCACTGATCGTTATTTTACACAGAATCGCCTAGGGGCCCAACGCTGGCAGCCCAGCCAGATTTCTCCCATGTGGGAAAGGCCCAGGGAAAGGAGGAAGAGCCCTACGAGTCACGGGAGACACTACACACTTCACATCCTGTTTTCTCTGCCAAGCCGTTTGAACACTGCTACAGCCCCACGAGGCGCTCACAGCTCTTTACAGCCAAGGAAGCGAGTTTCCTGCTCCTGAGGATTTTAAAAGCCGAGTGTAGGCTGCAAAGCTACGGAAAGCAGCAGGTAAGCAGAATGAGTGCCCTGAGCACGGAAGGGAGTCTAATGCACTCATCTTCGCAGGGTCGCCGAAGCAGACAGAAGCACCTCAGTTTACGATGTGCTGCTCTGTTCTATGGGAATTTTAATTCTACTCCTGTGACAATCATTTGTGAGATAGTGGGTTCCCTGCAGGGAAGGCGCTGTAGGGAGGAATGTAACAACAGACGAGGATAGAGAGAGGCACCCTGAACCAGCCAGCCCCACCTGACTGTTCCAGCTACAAAGGTTCTTTTGCCGCCTGCAGCACCGTAGTATCCAAACGCCTCCCAGTCACGCGTTAAGTGAGGTGACCGGCGTCTGTCACATGTGGCTTGATCTCGCCCCCTCCCGAGGGAGAGCTGTGTGTGCAGTGGAGTGTTCGGAACAGCAAGGAGCACACTGCGCATCCCAAACATCTCTGTTCTCCGAGGGGCATTTGGGATGCAAGAGGAGCGCTAGATCGGGGCCAGGAGATGCCCATTTCATGCGCGCTCTCTCTCTCTAGTCAAGGGAAGGGGTATTTTGTGTAAGCTCCCTGAAATAGGGATAGTCTTTGTGCTGCGGCTATACAGCACCTAGCACAATGGGGTCCTGGACTATGACTGGGGCTAGCAGGCATTATGCTAAATGCAAATAATAAAGGGATATTTTGTATCCGTCCCAGGTGCAAGAATCACGTCATCTGTACTTATAGCTCTGCACCATGCAGATTCCCCTTACTGAGGAGAAAGTGCCTCACTCCATCCCACTTCTGAGGTCTGTCTACACTGAGGGGCGGCTGCCAGTGGGTCCCACTGAACTGGTGTGGAAACCGTTTTCTCTGCAACTCTAAATGAGACAAACCCTGTTTTCAGGAGCATGGGTGGTGACCCCTTTGCAGCAGTTGGCCAGTTTTCCACTGCAGGTGGTGCGTTAGTGTCCGTTATTCTAGCACGGGGATCACAGTCCATGCAACGATTCATGCAGAGGAGACGGGTCAGGCAAAGCCAGCTCTTACCTGAAGAAGTGCAGCTGTCATGTAGAAGACTACGAAGATCAGGGTGAGCGTGGTGTGCCCGCCTTGCATGGAGCTGATGGTGTAGAGGAAGACCAAGTGCCCGGGAACCACCAGGAGAAAGAGCACACGGGCAGAGCGGGAATTCACATCTGGAGGGAAATTGAGAGGATGGAGCTCAGGATTTAAACAGATAATGGAACTCTGCAGCCAGCTCCCTGGGTGCCAGCATGGATGTGTCCACTAATCAGCAGACTACGTTTTAGTTGATCACATGCCACAGCATATTGGATCCACACCTCTATGTACTAAGTGCAAGGAGCGTAACAGAAATGCCCCGGAGCTCTGAACACTGGCTTAGAGACCCACCCATACTGGGATCAGTTAGAGATAACGCACTTCTGCTCATAACACAGACAGGGCCAAAAGGGACAGGCGAACGAAGAGGCTCTACACAGATCCCAGTGGCCATCAAAGTGGTACCTTTCAGCAGGTGCTCAGTACGCAGCTTTCTGTAATTCACTGGGAGGCTGAATTTACTAAGGGGAATTCATAAGAGCAACTAAAGCAAGGTGCTTGGTGCTCCCAAGGGCTGTACCTGCCCCCTTTGGGGGCTCATTTTTCCAAGCCTCTGTCCAGCACAGCCACACCGGACGTCTCTCAACACACACTGTAACAGATAATGCTGACCTCCGAGACCGTAAAGCACCGAGCTCAGCTCCACAAGGCCACTCTTCTGGGGGCTGCCTTGCCCCCAGAGGCCAGGCCAGTCCAGTCCCAGGCTACGGGCTGCCCCACGCATGGTAGAGAATAAATCTCAGCACATGCACTGCATGAAATGCAAATCAGGATTCCCGCTGCAACGTTCCCCCCACCATGTCCATCCTCACTTGAAACGTCTGGGTCTGCAGCTAAATAATGGAAACATTATGGAGCCTCTATATCAACAGGAACCTTTTCTGGAGCTTCAGTTGTACTGGCCAGGATAAACCGAGTCGCTGGCTGGCAGCTTCTGCAGCCCAAAAGCACTTGGTGAGGATTTAGAAGGTGGCGGGGAAGAAGTCATTCCAATGCTGGGGAGTCAGAGGCCACTAAGGCGGCCGCCTTTTCCTAACCCAGCGGGGACGCTCCACCTCACCAAACAGCACTGACACTGTCTCTGTAAGCAAGAGCAAAGGCCAGGCCAGCGCCTGGTCTCTCTGCTTCCCAGCAGGTCTCAGCTCCCATTTCCCTTCCTTGCTGCTTAGTGACCCCTCCCTCAGTGCAAGCTGAGCCAGCTAACCGTCAAGCCATTTCAGGATGCCGGTGAAGTGAACTGTAAGTCCCCTAGCTCGGAAAGCCCCAGCGCATGGCGCTGGGTAGAAGGAACAGATACCTGAGCTGAAGAATGCGCTGCAGGGGGTGGGGCACTTGCGCGGGGCCATCTCTGAGCTCTCGCCCGGGATTCCGCTCATGTGGAGGTAAGTGGAGATGCGACTAGCCTGGACAGCTACCAGGTTGCCACCGACACCTGCAGGCCAGAAGGGGAGCAGTGAGAACGGGCGCGTAACTCAACCCCCGCAGAACTTGGGCGCACTTGAGACTTCAGGAGCCAAGTTAAACTCTATTGGCCTTTGAACTTCAACCCTTTTAATGCCTCCGGAACAGCCAGACCAGCAGGTGAACGAGTCCTTTCTTGCTCCTCGCAGGCAGAATTCTTTTGCTGTGTTGTCAGAAAGCAGCTGCAACTGCTTCAGTTACAGATCAAGCTGTCAGCCCTCAATTTCTGTCCCACATTCCACTTTTGCGGGATGCAAAAAGCCAGAGAGACAGAGAGAAAGGACACTGCTCTACAACCCCCCTTTATGACCCCTGCTGCAACTGCATTATTGTAGAGCCTTAAGTGCAGTGCATGGGACACAAAAACAATGGGCCAGTCATGGCAGTAAGCTGAAAACTGCAAAGAATTTTGTTTGAAACACAGCGCATTACCTGCGGAACTCATTGCCACAAGCCCAAGAGATTCATAGCATTTTTTAAAAAAAGTGTGCGACATACAGATAATGAGCAGACCCACAGTTCTATTAGCAAAGAAGCCTAAGGCACTAGAAGTTTCAGACCCAAGCTCAAGGAACAGGGAAGGGGCATCAGACTGGATAAAATATTCAAAGACACTTACGTGCATAGGTGCATCTTTGCTGAAGTATCAACTCAAGGGTAGATCACTTGAGATCCTTCCCTCATGTTAATCTATCACCAGGAGCAGCAGCCACACAGCGGAGCAGCCGAGTTGCTCTAACACCCTGTCTCAAGCCTAGGAGCCAAAATCCCATTGGCATCTACAGATGCAGGCTCCTAAATCACTTTTGAAAATGGGCCTTGGGCGCTTTTGAAGATTCTACCCCCTGGCTGGCAGGGACTGCTGAGAGGCTCATTGGCAGAGCAGAAGGGAACTCACCATTAATCACCGGCGTAAAGACGGCTATCCCCGCAAAGTTTGGATCCGACACAGTTTTGTCCAATATTAACCCTCCAACACTGCAAGGGAAGACATTGAAGGAGTTGATGCCCAAGAGAAAATGACCACTCAGAACATCCAGAGACTCCCAAGCAATGATGATGGTCACACTTCTGTAGGCATGAGAAGCAGTGCCCACTGTTTGTGAGGCTGGTTACTGCAACTGTGCACACGTCACAGGCATCTATACCCATTTACGCAATGGCAGCAGTTGCATATGGACTCCGGGGCCTCTTAAAGCTGGTGCAGAATATCAGAGCATCGAGGGAAAAGGGTTACTAGTGTGTCGGAGTAAAAGACAGTTTGGGCGGGAGCCGCAGAGTCAGGTAGGGGGTGCTTTCCCATGATGCAAGTTGCATTTTGGCACACATCACACCAGCTGGTTTGTAAGTTTCAGTCAGACAAAATTCCCCAACAGGAACAGAGATTGTAAATCCTTGTGTACCTAGTGTAGAAAGAGCCTTTTGTTGTAACAAACCCGTCTGGGGCAGTCACTTCCTAGAGATGGCTCTTGTGGTGAAGGCGCTAGACTGGGACTCAGGAGGTCTGGGTTAAATTTCTGGCTGTGCCACAGACTCTCTATGTGATTATGGGCAAGTCACTAGATCTCTCTGTCTCTCAGCTCCCCACCTGTAGAACAGGGATAACAATACTTTCTTCCCCCCATTCTTTGGGAGAGGGACTGTCTCACTATGGGTTTGTAGAGTGCCCAGCCTGGTGCGGCCCTGATCCCAGGTGGGACCCTTAGATGCTAAGGTGACAGCAAACAGACAGGTACTTGGGGGCCCTGTTTTAGGAGATACTTGTTTGGTGCACATTAAAATCTGTTTTGACATACAGTGGAAATCCTGCTCTCAGATCCAGAGGCGCACCCTCCGACAGTTGCATAGGTTTAGGAGCAGAATTAGCCCACTTATGCTGGAGGGATGTGACATTATTGCTCTATTCCTAGAGAGGGGCCTGGGCTGTAGATCTGAACATTAACATTTGAAGGGGTTCAGCTCCACCATCTCCGTTTCTTATGCACAGCATGCACCATTTGGGCAAGCCCCTGAAGGGAAGCCAGGGTGTCCCTTCCTGGTCAGGCTGGCGCAAAACAGTCATTTTGTGTCTTCCTACCTGCTAATAGCCATGGCAATGATGACTGGCTCCCACCCAGAGTACAGCACCTCCCGGGTTACTGGATTCCTCTTGGCAATGATGATCCAGAGCGGTAGCAGGGCTATGAAGAAGGCACACACCAAAGGATTCACGTACACTTTGTCCTCTGAAAAGAGAAGCAACAGGTCAACAAGCCCTCCTGCCGGATATCATGGGTCACTACTCAACAGCAGTGTTGGACAGCAGACCTGGTCCCATTTCCCCTTTGACCTCAGGCCCTGGGAGTCTGCGAGAGCCAGACATGGCCGCCCCGCCTTCGGGAGGTATGCTATTGTCAAGGCTGCCCTCTCTTACCGCTGCTGACGATGTGCCCTCTAGGAAAAGCCCTGTTCCCAGCCGCTCACCCCGTTCGGCCTTCACCTGCTGGGCAAAACCTAGCAGCCACGCCTGCCCTCTCCTTGGAATGTCGTTGAAGACATGTCCCAACCAAGGAGACAGCCACAGCTCTGCTACTAGGGACCCTCCCAAGCCTTACGCCAAGGATGCTTTCTAGCTTCTGGCACTTGCCAAAAAGCAGCCCTTGCCTGTCTGACAGGCAGGGTGCACCCAGAGCACCCCCAAGCCTCTCTGCACCTGTGTGGTCTATGAAGATCCTTTAGATTTCTCTCCTCTCCCCCCAGTCATCTCTGAGTATGCCTTAGAGAGGCAGCCTCAAGATTAGGCACTACATAGATCCCCTTAAAAGCTGGAATGGAGGGCAAGATGCCAGGGAAATGCTGCAGCGCACATTAGGAGGGGATATGCATCTCTCACGTCTCACCCAGCTCTATGTAGAGGCCCCAGCTGATCCCTGAAAGCAGCGCCAAGGTGATGAGGTCCCCCAGGCTGGCAGCAATGGGCGTGGCCACGTTATCCGGGTTGATCCCGATCTTCCTGGATCCGATGATAACTCCGATCATGATCATGCCTAGGCCCAGAGGAAGAAGTGGCGTGAGCCGAAGGGCACCGCTGCTCAGACTGAGCGAGCGCGGCCGAGGGTTTAGGCTTACCCAGCACGAGTGAAGCTATGAAGGCTGTGGCGACACTACTGGCACAGAGCAGGATGGCATGGTTAATGCTGAAGTGCCCATCTGGGATCCAGCCAAATATCACGGCAGCAATCGAAGCCAGGAAACCGACCACTGTAGCTTGAACCTAGCACACATGAGAGGTTAAACCAGACATGGGTTGGGAAGAGAGAAACCCGTCCCAGTCCCCCCTGGATTAGCTGGGAGGAAGAAGAGACCGCAATATACCAGTGGGGGAAACTTTTAGGGAGGATTAATTGCGGCACAAGAAGTCACCGTTTGCTTTTCCACCAGACATTCAGCATCAGTATTTAAACTCTCCTTCCAGTGTCACTGTTGCACAGCCCCCACAGCCAGCCCCATTTCCCCCAATTTACCTGAATCAGAGCCATGTTCCCCATTATCATCCTCCAGAGCTCCTTGGGTGTGTCTATGTGCCCGATGTTAGCCTGTAGGAAGAGACCATGGTATCGGTTAGACTGAACCCCTCTCAGATGGCTAGTGCTCAGGGAACTTGTTCACAGTGGCGGTACATTTGGCGTGGGGCAGGGGAGAACAATTCGAGACCCAAGCCCTCCGGGATGATGGTTCAAGAGAAGAAAAATTAGCATTCCATTGCCGTTCGTGACATTCCTAACGGCCCCACGTGTCAGCCGGGCGACAGAAAAAAGGGCAGCAGGATGTGGACACGAGCAAGGTGGCCAATCACCTCCCACCTCCAGCTGAGAAGGGAATGAGCTTCAGAGTCAAGAGGGCTTCCTTTTTGCTTTTGGGGTTCTCAAGGTCCTCAATTCTTGCAGACAAAAGAGACTCCTGCACCCAGCGGCTGGCAGATCAATGAAGGAGGAGCTGGGTATCAGCTATCTTGGTCTACTGCTCTGAGCACAGAACAGGGTGGCAGGAATGTTCTATTTCTAAGCCCAGACCCACACTCTAGTCCCCCTTAATTGCCTCCATTCTCCTAGCTACAGAAGCCAGGTTAACACGTATACCACAAGGACAGAGCAAGGATTCAGCGTTTGCCAAGTGCTCTGGAGACCAGGGTCTACAAAGACTTTGCCAGCGAATCTGGGACAGTGGCAGGACCTCCTCCATTTCCCCTTTAGCACACACTGGAATGGGGAGTGAGACATTGCTGATGCTCTCCCAATGGAGCTCCTAATACCACGTCTCACTACCAATTCTGGCTCACACCTGTCTGGGTCATGCTGCTCCCACAGCTGGCCAAAGGGCTCAATACCCCAGCTCTGCTATCAGATCGGACCCTAAGCTCTGATAAGGAAGGCCAGGGTGATGGCAATGAGAGTTTTTCCTGTTAAATAACATTAGGTAAACAAAGCTAATGCCCTGTGGAAGCCTGGTGAGTGGTGGGAAGCAGCCACAGCACATGGGGGTCTTTTGGCACCAGGATGGCTACAAAAGACACTAATCAGCTTAAACAGAACAGACTGAAAGTTGCCGTAATCTGGCAGCAGACAACTTTGCTGTTTTGCAACATTTGAGCAGAGTTACTGCAGAAGGCCCTGCCATACTGTCCTTTGCAGGTCTCTATGGGATTTAGAGAGAGATTTAGAAGTATCACAGCACCCCCAGAGATTCAGAGCAAGGACTGTGGGGCCCAATTTACTAACAGAAACTGATGCACAGAGAGGGGAAGTGACAAGCCAAAGGTCACAGTGAGCGAGTGTCAGAAACAGAACCCAGGCGTCCTGATTGCTAGCCCCTGGTTCAAGCCACGAGCCTACGCAGATCCAGGAGAACATCCGATGAAGTGGGTTCTAGCCCACGAAAGCTTATGCCCAGATAAATTGGTTAGTCTCTAAGATGCCACAAGGACGCCTCGTTGTTTTTGCTGATACAGACTAACACGGCTACCACTCTGAAGTGTGTAAAGGGTTCCCTAAAGCACAAGCAAGGCCGTTAACAGCTAGAAGGGATATGGTGACAGTTTCCTTCCCTCCAGTTTCTGTGCCAGAGAGAAATCAAGGTCAAGCAGCTCAAATCAGCATTCTTTCCCCACTGCCCAGTCCCTGCCACTTCTTGTACATTTCCATAGCATCTTCCAAACCAACGATTGCAGAGGCTCTGACAAAGCACTTCATCCACTACTGAAATGCAGCCATTTCTGGGGTGGAGCACGGCAACTCTAAACTGTTCAGGACAGGAAGGGAAGAAAAACAACGTAGCCAACCGAGTTGGCCGGGTCAATTTAGTAAAAGAGAACAGCTGCTCAAGTTGGAATGTGACCATGACTCCAGGGTAACACCCCTCCTCTTGCGGCATTCGACTCTCATTTGAAATCTATTCCTAGGCCTCAAGTTACCGGGGCACGTGGCATGTGGGTGCCATTCTCTTCAGGAAGGAAGAGCATCCATGCCTGAAAATAAGTCTTCAGACACTAAGGGAGCCTGGGTTTAAGGGGCATTCTCAGGAATTTCTGCAGTCTGGCCAGGTCAATGCAGGGGAGGAAAGGGGGGGGAGGAGAGGCAACTACAGGAACAATCAGCACATACCCCACAGGTATTTTAGCTCAGTATGAAGCTGGATCTTAAATTCCTGCCACCAGGTCAGGATTAACATAACCTGGCTGTAGTCAGTAGCAACAAGATTTTAAATCCCCTAACATGAAAGTTTTGCTTCCTAATGGTGAAAGGAACTGGCTGGGGAGCATTAATGCCGCTTTAATGAGGAATGCGGAGCCTGCAGAAGCCATTCCAGGCTGCTGTCCTGCAGAGCCAGCACAGGGACCACGTCCCAAGCGATTCCTTTGAGAAGGGCTCTCCGCTGCCACTCTACAGGTGGCCTCTTACACCTAGGAAGGAGCAGAGCAAGAGGGGAATAAAAAGCAAGCCAGATGGGTCGTCGGATCCCATCACACGTGCATGCCGAAGAGACCCTGAGGAGGCCAGAAGGGAATTTAACAGTTTAAAAGGCAGCGTGTCATTCCACCCCCCCATGCACCAAGCTATAACTGATCCCCTATAGGCCGGAAGCCATGCTAATTTCTCCACGCTAGTCAGATCAAGGTCATGGCATGTCAGTAGGCGGCACAAGGAGACCCAGCTGGCACGGACAGGGCTGCTCACAGGCACAGAGGTCAGAGGGAGGCAGATAGGCTGGGTCATCGCTCCCTCTGTGCCCTGGTTCTCTTGTGGCCCTGGTGTGGACATGAAGGGAGATAGGAAAGTTTGGCATTCCCCTGACTTTCTGCACAGCATGGGCAGTCTCGGTTCCCTGCCAAGGCCCCAGCCCTGGGCCAGCACCACTGCTGGGAAGATGGGGGATGGAGGAAGCGGTGCACTCTGCCTTTGTCCCAGAAGAGCTAAGCTCTGATCCCAGCGACGCAGTGGGGGCTGCATGCTTAGTGGACAGAGCCAAGCCAGCCAGCTGAGGAAACTGCTCGCTCCTCCACCCCACCCCCCAAAAGACCTCACATCCCTTACATGCTCCAAACAATAAGGATGAAACAAAGGGATTTGTTTCCCCAAGTGGAAGAGCAAACAAAGTCTGGCCTGCACTGCCATTAGCTTCACCACTCAGCCTTTGCCTCTGGCAGAATCGCAGCTGGCTTCTGCTCCCACCCGGCACAATGAGGAGGGGAAAGCTTGTTCCCACCATTAGCTGGAGACAAGGAAGCTTGGCACCGAGATGACAGCCTCGGCAGCAGGCACGGTGTGCTAGCCGGTAGTTGGCAATGTCATTTCCCGGCCAGATCTCTGCTTGCTTCTTAGGAGCAAGGGCACCAGGGCCAAGAGCTGCAGAGGCTGGATTCAAGGAGGAAGAGGAGTTGTTCTAGTCAGCGGTAACCAGCTGGGGGGTTGTAGGGGTAGGATGCCCTCTGTGCTTCACCGTACATGCGGAGCTGAACCAAGAGCTAATCCAGATAGAGCCTCTTTCTCGCTACCCACCCCAATGTTGGCCAGGGAGCCCCAATTTTGACGTGGGGGCTAGAGACTAAGCAACCCACCTCTCCGCAAACTAGACGTCTCCAAAACACTGAGCCAGCGTGACGCGGCAACACAAGCGTCACCGTGCACCGGGGCAGGGTCCTGCAGGACACATGGAAATGTAGCGGCTGTTCAGTGTGGGAGAGGGGCTGCAGCAGGAAGAGCAGAAGACAAAGTCAAGAATACTTTGAGAGCCTGCTCTTCTGCCTACAAGGAAGAGCCATGCACTTGGCCTGGTGGCATCGGGGCACAACAGGGACCATGGGAGTCACAGTCAGGGAGGCAGAGGAGAGGGAGCTGGTCTCGGAACCACAGCTGGCATTACTCCCCTGGGTCAGGGCTCAGACATACTAAAGAGGCCTGGCAGAGACAGAGACGCGCGCAACTCTGCCCAGGCTTTCTGCCAGCTGTGCTCACTGCTCCCCTCTAACCTGACAGTGCTCGATGAACTCCTGCGAATGCCTCGCCCCCCCAAATCCTCCCTGGGTAGCAGTCTGAGTCAGCAATTTCTGAGCACAAAGTTTCCTGCGCCTCTGTCCCCCGAAGACCAGGTCCGGGCTGTTTGCTTTGAGGGCTGCCCTCTGAACGTGTTAATTCAGAGGGCGGAGAGAGGTAAGAGTTGAGCTGCAGGCAGCTGGTACTGTTGTGCTTGAAGAATCACAGCTGTGGACCCATTGTGGGATGTGCTGTGAAGCATGGAAACATCCAACAGTCACCTGTTGTCACGCCCTGGAAGCATGGGCTTTATGGAAAGGGAGGAGAATTTCCAGTCCCTAACAGGAAAGGATTCCAGGCCTCCTGCCCAGCTCAGCTACAGGGACAGAACGCTCCGTTAGTGCCAGAGCACTGACGAGAAGCAGTTCAGTTATAACTGCGCTAACTTGGTATTCAGGCGCTTAGCCTAGGCCTGTCTTGGCAGTCTGGAGCGCCTGCCCCCATCTCAGTCGGGAAGCTCACTATTTTATGGATCTGGCCATTACACTCACACAGAGGCAATGCCCGATCTTGCCCTTCCAGAGGTTTTCAGCTAGGATGCCAATGCTCTCTGCAGGATTCCACTGGACAGGAGAACTTGCCTCCAACCTTGCCCCTGCAGCACGATTCTCTCAAAGCCCTGCAGCCTCTGCCACTCACAGGCTTTCCCCGGCCTGCTTTTGGGGCATTTCTGTATTTAGTTTCCTGAAGCACAAATCAGATCCCTTTCAACTAGATCAGAACTCTCCCAGCTAAACACACCCACCCCTCTTCTGGCTCCAGCAATGCTTCCAGGCAGAGCAGCACTCACGGCAGGGGAGAGCCGTACTCCAGGCTTTAGGACTTTAAACAGTCTTCCTGCTCGACTCATATTCAAAACCCCTTCCTGAATTGCCAGGCTTTTGACAAAATGGCCACTGGGACAGAGAGCAATTTCCCGCAATATTCTGGACACACCTCATCGAATGAAGTTTAATACCTTCAGGGTCCATGGTATTAAACATGCAACTGTTGATGTGTTATTGTAAGATTGCATGCAACTTTTCCAGGAGACTGACTAATGTAAACCCTGGGGAAATGTTAGGAACTTAAAAAAAAAAAAAGAAGTTTGTGACAATGTGTGTGAAGTAGGCTTCATAGAAGGCATTAGAGAGGCCTTTTTAAGCTATGCCCTGGGGAGAAAAATCCACTGTCTACTGAATACCTGCTCCTGGAAACTCCAATTCAAAGACCCCTGAACTGTATAAAAGATGGATTAAACTTCACATGAGTGAGCTAGTGCTGAACTGAGGCGATTACGAACCTGTACCCATAGAAGAGACCCCTTTGTGGGGTTTAAAGGACTATCAACTGGCAGAGCCCATGTCGGAGTTGGGGTGATCTCTGGGAAGCTTATTAGCATGTGTGTAGGTTCTTTTATTGTTTTTAATAGGTTCTCTCTGTAATGTTTTTACCCTAAAAATAAATACGTGCAGGGAAAGAGCTGGGCAGTAGCCTAACTGTGTCAGTAACTCTGTTATTAGTCTCGGTGCTGGGGTCTGCTTAGACAGTCTGTCTTGAGCTGGGAATAACACAGTGAAGGCATGGAACCATTCAGCCTGAAGATACCCCAGTCAGAAGGGAGAGAAGTGAGTCTCCATCCATGCCTGGCAACTGCCAGTGCGTGCCCTTGCTGGACCACTGAGGGGAAAAACGGGTGTAGCTGCCATGAACTGTGACAGGCACCATTTTTGCTGACTGCTCATCTGACTTGATCCCAAAGGCCCCCTGCTTATGGGAGATGCTTAAAATCAGGCTCTTCTCTTGCTCTTCTCTTCCCCTTCCCCCCACATCCCAAAAAACGGTTCTTCTCTCTCTCATGACTCAGTACCCCGCTAATCAAAGCAGGGCAGGGGCAATAACTGTGTGAGCTGGCGTCCTGGCCACGGGATACCCGTGAAGATAGTTCAGGGACAAAGAGAGAGGGGGCAGACAGGAAATGTCTCGACTGCTCTGACTGGATGGAATCACGAAGAGGAGGGGTGACATTTACCCGGACTTGAGGAACACTCGTTACCGTGAAATACTGAAAACTCACTGAGAAGCACGGCGAGGCCCCCCCTCGGAGGGCAAGCCAAATGAATGGACTGGCAGTGGCACTGGCCAGGGGAGAGCTGGTGCAGCCTGGGATAGAGAGAGAGGAAACTGGTGGAGCCCTGGAGACTGGCAAACCCACAATGATACAGTTCAGAGCAACTGCATAATGAAGTGTCTATATCTAGGCATATCCATCAGTGATTTAAGCCACCACAAAGTCAGTGGAAGGTGCAAAGGAGTCCACGAGCAACAGCTACATTCCCCCCCCCCCCCCAACAGCTCTCTTTTCCCCTCCTCTCCATACACAAACACAAGCAGACATGGAATTTCCCTCCCCATCCCATCCCAGATAACTCACAGCTGTAGAAAGACGAGATGCCAGCGTCATCTCTAGGTTCCCCTTCAGTCCCAGCAATGCAGGAACCAGGATAAATACTTCAGTCACATTTTTGAACACATCCCAGTGCTGCAAGACAAAAAGAGTTTATGTATTATACATAGTGTACACACACACACACACACTCTCAAAGAATCTTGGTTCAAGGTAACAGCTGCAGATGGTAAGCTCTTTGGGGGCAAGGATGGTCTTTTTGTTCTGTTTGGACAACACCTAGCACTATGAGTTCCTGTTCCATGACTGAGATCACAAGGCACTTCCATAGAATACCAGCCAGACTGTAGAGGAGCTTAATTTCTAGCTCTCCTTCCTTCAGAAGTACATCTGTGGCAGGTGAAACACAGAACTGGTAATAAGTGTAACTCCCCAGCCTCAAATGTTTTGACTATACCCCCAGCTCTGGCTCCATTCCTTCCCTGTTTCAAGACCACGGGACTGCCAAGCTCTTTGCAAAGTGGACCCAAGTGTTGGAAAGCCTCTGTTTTCCCATAGCAATGACTGGAGTCATCCTCCACCTCCCACTGCAGCGCAAAGGGCAGTGGCAGGATTTGAACACTGTGCCTCTCTTCATCAATAGTAAGAGCAGTGGTGGAACAAACAGGGGGAGCGATCACAAAAAAAAGGCACCACCCGCTGCGGCACTTTTACTCACCCGGCGGCGCTTTTACTGACAGGGTGGCACACCGGGTCTTCAGCAGCACTTCGGCGGCGGGTCCTTCAGTGCCGCCTAACACACCCGGAGCGAGTGAAGGACCCGCTGCCGAAGTGCTGCCGAAGACCCGGAGCGCCGCCAGGTGTGTAAAAAAATTACCATAAGAGCCTGCTCGACTATAGATCAAGCATCTATCTACTGAGACCAATAGGGCCTGCTCTGATGAACGGACGCAGACCGGTTACAGAGTCAGTTATCGGAGAAGCCTAACTGTGCTACACCTTTGTTCTGAAGTGAATTTCAGGAAAGCTATTTCATTATTTACCCAGTTGGACATTTTGACTCTGTGTGGCCCGTGAATACATGAAACTAGAACAAACCTTCTCCAGGACGCTGTAGGCCCAGCTGAGATCACAGCCCCGTTGTGCGAGGGGCTGTATATACACCTCGTAAGAGAGGGTCCTTCCCTGGAAAGCTCATGCTCTAAACAGACAAGACATTTTACAAACACGGAAACGGAGGCGCAGAGAGATCCAGCATTGGACAGTCACTGGAAGTGTTTGTCAGAGCCAGGAACTGGACCCAGGTCTCGGTCCCAGTCCAGTGCCCCACCCACAAGACCATCTCCTCCGCGTGTGGGGTGCAAACACAGACGTTATGCTGCCAAAATTCCCACTGCCTTCCTCCTCCGCCAACCCCAGAAAAAGACAGCATCACATGCTCTTGG